TCTGGAGGGGTGGAAGAGGTTTTGCTGGGGGAAGACAGGTAGCTTCTTAGGCATCCTCCCATTTTACAGTGTGGTTCATGCCAGATTATGCCACGGAAATCACGCATTCGTCGTGCTTCAACAGGCGTGTACTGCCTGTCATGTATGTGTCAGGCAGTGTGCTCAACGCGGGGGTTTCTAAGAGGCACACAACGAGGAGGGGCTGTGATACACAGGTCTCCACCAGGGACCAGGCAGCCCAGAGCAGAACCAGCGCTGGATGTGTTGGTGGAAGCTTCGTTTTCCGAAGTAGACCCTAATCCACGTCTTAGCTGTGTATTTATTTGTATTTGTTCGGGGTCTAAGTGTAGATACACTTACTGTCAGCATGGGCTGCTGTTGACCTGGGTTATTTCTGGACGCTGCTCCTGGGGCACCTGTGTGACCCACTAAATCTCAGGTGCTCTAGCTCTGCTGATGGCCTCTCTCTCCCTTCAGTGCTACCCCATGCTGCATATGGAATGGTTACTCAGAATAACTGAGTACTGCTCATCAGACTGGTACTGCAGTACTGCCTCTCCCCCACTCCCCTTGGCCTGGAATTTGTCTTTGAATTGTGACACTGGTAGATTTTTTCCTATCCCATTCCTTTGTTTTTAAGTGGTTGATGAACAATTTGCTTTGTCTGTTTTTTAATTTTTTTTTTTTTTTTTTTTTTTGCGGTACGTGGGCCTCTCACTGCTGTGGCCTCTCCCATTGCGGAGCACAGGCTCCGGACGCGCAGGCTCAGTGGCCATGGCTCACGGGCCCAGCCGCTCCGCGGCATGTGGGATCTTCCCGGACCGGGGCACGAACCCGTGTCCCCTGCATCGGCAGGCGGACTCTCAACCACTGCGCCACCAGGGAAGCCCTATTTTTTAATTTTTAAGAAACAGCCTCATAGGTTTATTTGTTCAGCTGTTCACTCAGCAAATATTTATTGAGCACCTATTGCATGTCAGATACTGTTGTAAGGGCTGAGCACATAGCTCTGATCAAAGGCAGTTAAGAACCTCTGCCCCCTTATGTTCTATTGTGTCCCTTACATCCCAGCAACATGCCACTTTGTCTTTGCAGCAATGATGATGACCTGGTTTTTAAAATTTTTTATTTAAAATTAAAATTTATTCTTTTCCATTATGGTTTATTACAGGATATTGGATATTGTTCCCTATGCTATACAGTAGGACCTTGTTGTTTATCTATTTTATATATAGTAGTTTGTATCTGCTGTCTACTCCTAATTTATCCCCCCCTCCACTTTGGTAACCATAAGTTTGTTTTCTTTGTGAGTCTATTTCTGTTTTGTAAATAAGTTCATTTATAGCATATTTTAGATTCCACATATAACTGACAACATGTGATATTTGTCTTTCTCTTTCTGACTGAGTTCACTTAGTATGATAATCTCTAGGTTGATCCATGTTGCTGAAAATGGCATTATTTCATTCTTTTTTATGGCTGAGTACTATTCCATTGTATATATGTACCACATCTTCTTTATCCATTCCTCTGTTGATGGGCATTCAGGTTGCTTCCATGTCTTGGCTGTTGTAAATAGTGCTGCTATGAACATTGGGGTGCCTGTATCTTTTCAGATTAGAGTTTTCTCTGGATGTATGCCCAGGAGTGGGATTGTAGGATCACATGGTAGTTCTATTTTTAGTTTTTTAAGGAACCACCGTACTGTTCTCCATAGTGGCTGCACCAATTTACATTCCCACCAACAGTGTAGGAGGGTTTCCTTTTCTCCACACCCTCTCCAGCACTTATTATTTGTAGACTTTTTAATGATGGCCATTCTGACCAGTGTGAGGTGATACCGCATTGTAGTTTTGATTTGCATTTCTCTAATAGTTAGCGAAGTTAAGATCTTTTCATGTGCCTACTGGCCAGATGGTGACCCGGTTTTTCACAGTGTTCTACTTAGGACAGTTTTGAGTAAGCAGCTCATTTCCAACCATAAAACCCCATTTTACCAATGGGTACCCTTTAGCTTGCATCCTTGGCTTGGGAAATTGCACGCTGTGTATATTTATGTTCATTTTGTTATAACTTTTTATCCTGGAAAAGAAGAGTCGTCAGTCTGGCTTTGAAATTTTGCAGCCAGTTATTGATACTGGTAATTGTGTGATTTGGCAACTGGGTTTAATAATTTTGTAGTGGTGTTCATAGGCCTTTTTCTTTTCTCCTTTTTAAGGTCTTACCAGTGGCACAGCTTTGGTTAGACATGCTCCAGGTGTGCTTATCTTATCATGAGGGAACTTTAGGCATACTTTATCAATAGTTTTTGGTGTAACCCCCAGGAAAATAAGTAATTCTAAGGAAAATAAATATTTAAATGATGTTACCTCTGAATAACTTGTGATTTCTTTCAGACCCATCCATAAATCACACTGCAGATTAAAAAAGAATCACAAGTAGATGTTGTTCTACTAAAAATTGTCACTTAAAGCTTTTAAAAGCATCTAGTAGAATAGCAGTTAATCCAAAACCCCAAAATTCTGACTTTGTTTGGGAAAAAAAAAGTATTCAGAAGGGAAAGATTATGTGTTCATGTGGAAATATAACATTTAGATACCCTTACTTGTAAATTATTTTCATACAAGATGAACAAATTCTTTGTGGTTATCAAGCAATACTTTTCAGATTCACTCTGTTTGATTTTTATTATTAAAGTCTTTGCTTTCTCCTTACTGGAAACTTGCCAAGCAGCAGTGAGATGAGATGTCTTAGAGGCATTCAGTATTAATTCAAACGGTCAGCAGACTTGAAATAAGTACCAGTTTAGACGTTTCGGCAGTTTCATCCTCCCTAGAGTCTTAGCTATGAAAATCCTCATTAGATTTTCCTAGATAAAAATCTTACTTTAGGAAATGTATGAAAGAGGTGAAGGAGTGGGAATGTCACGGTGGTTGGGAAAATAGTTTACCCTAAACGATTATCATCTGATGCTGGGCACCAGTCAACCCTTCTAAGAGTTTTTATAGAATGGAGAAGGATTTAAGGAAAGTATCTATTAAATGGCTTAGCCTTTAAGAAAAATACATTATGAAGTAATTATGGACATGGGGTGTGATGGTGATATGACAGTGATTTCTTGAATAAATTCCTATTCTCTACACCAGAAATAAGAGTAGAACCAGGCTTTATTCTGGGCTCAGAGGGCATCAGGGCAGATCTGACTGGGTATCGCCGAGACCTGTAGCCTGGGTATTAAACAGTGTGGAAGGGATCAGAGACAGGTGGGAGCCCAGAGCTGGACAGAGAATCAGAAGGCGGGAAAGATGGAAGGTTGCAGGTGTCCTAGGTCAGAGCCTGCTGTGGAGCCAGGGCACTCCAGGGATGGGCCTCCAGGAAAAGGATGACTGATCAGTCAGTGTCTCTGGGCTGCAGGGTTGAAGGCAACAGCAGTCATGGTTGTGACCCACCCTGGGAATTAGACCTTGGCTTTTGGGATGCACAGGCCACTGGGGTTCACAGAGGTTAGATGGGCCAGTAGTCAGGGTAGGCAGCAGGTGTTGGAGGGATTTGATATCAGCATGGCTATGGGTTAAGGTGCATGGATCAGGCAGTAACATGAAGACGGGTCCTGTGTATCAGAGAAGGTTCAGGCAGAAGCCTTTTCTGCTCTGAGTAGTGCTTTTGTGGATGATCTGACCCTACAGTTCTGGGACGATTGTGGGCACTGGGCAGCACCGAGGCTTAAAGCAAAGCCCTAAAATCATGGTATTTCTGAATTCCAACGTTTGGAACTTTATCACATAAAGCTTTATACCGCTCAGAATGATGCCAAGGTCCAGATGAAGGCCACATTCACAGACCAGAGTCTGACAATTAATGCTAATATTTATTCAACACTCACTGTCTCATGTACTGTTCTAAGTGCTTTACATGTATTGTTCCAGTTAATCCTCTCAGCAACCCATTTAGGGAGACAGAGATTGGCTCACAGAGATTCTGCTTGAGCAATAAGAAATAGGAAGGGCCAAGCTGGTGTGCTTAGGCATGGGGTTATAGAGTTCTCCATACACCAGCAGTTCTGGGCACTGAAGTTTTTTAGCCTTCCTCACTGTTCTGTGGCCCATGACCATTTGTTCTTATTGGCACATTTAACACATGACATTGGTCACATGTATTTGTTATGGCTTATGTTCCTAAGATTCATCCAGGGCGTCTTCCCAGACCGCTACCACTCTGGCTGCTTCCCTTTTCTGACTTTCCATAGCTTTTATTTATTGTCTACACACATTCGTTCAACTTTGTCATGTTCCTTCCTCCTTTTTTTTATACTCGTCTTAAAATTGTTTAATATGTTTAAATTTTGCCTCTTCAACAAGTGTCTTAAAGTTTGTATTGCTTTTGTATCCTCTACAGAGCCTGCATCATTGTAAATAATTCAGTAAATTTGCGCAATATATTCTATACCTTTCTTTCTACCTTGACTTTATTTTTTTTTAATTTTGTTAAATTAAATTAAGTTAAATTTAATTTTTTTGGCTGCACTGGGTCTCGCTGCGTGTGGGCTTTCTCTAGTTACAGTGAGGGGGGTCTACTCTTCGTTGCAGTGCATGGGCTTCTCATTGCGGCGGCTTCTCTTGTTGGGCAGCATGGGCTCTAGGTGCGTGGGCTTCAGTAATTGCAGCATGCGGGCTCAGTAGTTGCGGCACATGAGTCCCAGAGCGCGTGGGCTTCAGTAGTTGTGGCACATGGTCTCAGTAGTTGTGGCTTGAGGGCTCTTAGAGTGCAGGCTCAGTAGTTGTGGCACACGGGCTTAGTTGCTCCACGGCAGGTGGGATCTTCCTGGACCAGGGCTTGAACCTGTGTCCCCTGCATTGGCAGGCGGATTCTTAACCACTGTGCCACTAGGGAAGTCCCATCTACCTTGACTTTAATTAAATTTTAATCAACAGTTAAACTGGTTATTTTTTACATATGTTACAATGCATGAATTTTCTTTTTTTTTTTTTTAATTTTCACAGGGCAAACTCAGAAAATGAATCTGTTCCAGGCAGTAACAAGTGCCTTAGATAACTCACTGGCCAAAGACCCTACTGCAGGTAAACTTCCTTTGTGCTTGACTGTGGTAGTTGTGTTAATTCAGAATTGAAGATTTGCTAGAAATATTTGTCTGGAGCTCAATGGGTAACATTATATCTACTTGAAATTTTTAAAAGACCTGAACAAATGCTTAAGGCTAAATAATCAAATTATGATATTTAAACACATTTTTTAATCCTCTTATTATGAATTAGTTCGCACGTATATCTGGCATCATTAAGTTAACTTTCTCCCACAGTATGTGTGGTCCTTATATTACATTAATACCTTCTGGGTTTTTTGAATAAGTACTGCTGTTTCTCTAGCATGTAGAAAAAAATGGAAAATACCACTTCGTTCAGCTATCTATTTATAAAATGAAGGTTTGATTCTGTGCTTTCCTTTGGGATACGTTGTCATTCAACTTGTAAGATTTTTTGGGAAATAACTGTAATATTTATAATTAACTTTATAAGTAACTTTATCTTATTCAATTAAATTATTGCTATAAAGCCAGTTGTCCCACTGTGTATTTTCTACATTTGACTGACTTGACTTCCTATGTATATTTAGTGTACCTTGGGTTTCCACTTGGGAATCTCTGGTTTTAAGGTCAAGTGAAAAACAGGTTCATTTTTAGGAGGAAGTGAGAGCTGGACTAGTGGATGGTTAGACCTTCCTTTGTTTTGACCGAGAATGACTGATGTAGCCCCGTAGAGAAGGGTGAGTTATTTTCCTGAGGTCCACGAAGCCGATGAGGTGCCTTAATGGGACTAGAATTCAGCTTTGTGAACACCCGTTGTTTGGTTCTCTTTGCCTTACTACGAGGTGCCCCTCAGTTTTCACCTATACTATTCTTTGCCTCGTTCCTTACATCCGTCATACTTGCCTCCTTTCTCTTTCACGCAATCTGCCACTTTCCTATTTGTGACTGTTCTCTCAGCTTGAAATGCTGTTCCTTTAGCTCTTCGATTGCTGACTCTCATTGTATGTCGTGTATTTAAAACAACAACAACAACAACAACAAAAACAAAAACGCTGCTCTGGGACTCAGGAGCCTGGTGTGTGAGTCACAGGTCTGCCTCTTGCTTTCTGACTTGTTAAGTTACTTTACTACTTTTCTGGCCTCGTTTCCTTCATGGGTAAAACAAGATGAGATTCCAGATCTGTGTTTCTTTCTCAACTGGGGATTTTAATCCCCCCTCCTCCCCTCACAGTTAATAATGTCTGGAGACAGACTTGAGGCTGTTACAGCTCTGTGTGGGGTCACTGTCATCCACTGGATAGAGACCCGGGGTGCTGCTCTGTGTCTGCAATGCACAGGACAGGCCACTATGACAAAAGAATTAACCAGTCCAAAGTGTCCCTGATGTCGAAATTGGGAAACCTTGATTTAGATCTGTGGTCCATTCCTGTTTTCTAATTGAAAATGTAAACATTTAAATTACTTATTTCTCATTGTTAGTATCATTTAGGGATTATTAAATACAATGTGTTTTTTAAACATTGTTTTTCAGTAATATTTGGTGAAGATGTTGCCTTTGGTGGAGTCTTTAGATGTACTGTTGGCTTGCGAGACAAGTATGGTAAGTTAGTATCTTTATATATGAACAGTATTCCTGTAGAACTTTTACTTAAAGATCTTGAAAATACAAAGTTTGCCTGTTGAAATGTTTGCCGTATCCTTATTGTACAGATGGGTTCCTTTCGTTTCCACGGCCACCCACAGACTCCTTTGGCTTAGATTTCTCCAAGCGTGTTCTAACTGTAGCTTCCCTCTGATCTAGTTCATTATACATATTATAGATTCCAAAATAGTCTTCATTAAATACACTGTTTGTCATGTCCTTCATGCTCTGGGAATCTTTGACCTCTTATTGCCGTCTACCTTAGCCGATTTCTTTTGTTTTTTTAAAATTAACTAATTAATTAAATTTAGTTGGCTGCATCAGGTCTTAGTTGTGGCCCATGGGATCTTTCATTGCAGCACGCGGGGTTCTCCCTAGTTGTGGCGTGGGCTCAGTAGTTGCGGCCCATGGGCTTAGTTGCCCCGCGGCATGTGGAATCTTAGTTACCCGATTGGGGATCAAACCCACGTCCCCTGCGTTGGAAAGCAGATTCTTAACCACTGGACCACCAGGAAAGCCCCAACCCCAAGAACATGGATTACTCTTTTTTGCTGTTTTTTGTTTTGGCCATGCTGTGGGGCATGGAGGACCTTAGTTCCTCGACCAGGGATTGAACCCACGCCCTCTGCAGTGGGAGCACAGAGTCTTAACCACTGGACCGCCAGGGAAGTCCCCTACCTTAGCCCATTTCAGTCCCATTGCGTCTAGTTCAAGGTTCTGCCCTATTGGTCTCTGTTAATAGATTTCATCTTCTATTATCTGCAATAGGATTCTCCAGAGAAATCGAACCATTAGGATATATCTATGTGTGTGTAGATATGTGTGTGTATATGTATTATATATCTGTATTATCTATACTTATACTTATATCTATATTTATACCTATACTTATATCTATATTGAGAGAGAGAAAGTGAGAGAGAAAGTGAGAAAGAGAGATTTATATTTTAAGGAGCTGGCTTACACCATTGTGGGGCTTGCAAATCTGAAATCTGCAGGGCAAGCCAGCAGACTGGAAAACGGGGCAGGCTTCAGGACAAATGTTTTCTTGTTTGGGAAACCTTAGTCTTTTCTTCTAAGGCCTTCAAGTGATTGGATGAAGCCCATGCACATTAAGAAGGATGATCTGCTTTACTTAAAGTCTACTGATGTAAATGTTAATCACATCTAAAAATACCATCACAGCAATATCTTAGACTGGGATCTGACAGCCAGGCACCATCACCTTGCCAAGTGGACACCTGGCATTAACCATCACATTATCCTTCCACATGTTTCATCCCCACCAGTCTGTGCCTTTTGCCTGGCATTGATCCATTTCCACCTATTGCTTTCACTCATTTCATTTGCCTCAGACTTAAAACCATCATAGAATGCATATTCCTCTGTAAGGAATGTGTTTCAACCTCTTTCTGTGACGGGTGACTTTGAGGTGCTTTGACCTTTCTTGTTTTTCCTCAGCTTTATCTACTGTGGAAATCAAAGCAGTTAAGTTTGGGGTGGAGTCGACATCTGCCTACTGTCTTACCTTTGCCGCTGTCCTGTAAATCTCCTGTGTGCAGTAAGGAGTGAGGGGCCTTAAGATTTTTTTTTTTCTAACTGTTGTTCCTTCTTGTTGCACTCTTCTCTGAGGTTATACTTGCATCCAGGAAACCATAGTTGAATCTGGGAAATCAAGTGTCCCATCCCACTTAGCAGGAACTCTCAGGTTGTTCTTTTCCCTTCCTTTACAGCAGTTTCATTTTTCTGGGTCCTGTCCCTCTGCTTTCTCCTAGCTGTCTATTTTAACAGCTCTTTAGAGTTTGAGATACTTGGACCAGTCTCAGCTATCTCAAACTGTCTCAGTTCTCTCCAGCTAATTCTGACTCCTAGAGATTTTAGATCGTAAAAAAGAAATTAAAAACCTTGGGCTTCCCTGGTGGCACAGTGGTTGAGAGTCTGCCTGCCGATGCAGGGGACGCGGGTTCGTTCCCTGGTCCGGGAGGATCCCACATGCTGCGAAGCGGCTGGGCCCGTGAGCCATGGCCGCTGAGCCTGTGCGTCCGGAGCCTGTGCTCCGCAACGGGAGACGCCACAACAGTGAGAGTCCTGCGCACCGCAAGAAAAAAACAAAACAAAACAAAAAAACCTTTATACATTCGATTTCAAAATGCATATGCATCGTAGAAAATTTGGAAGATGTAGAAAAGTGTAAAGAAGAAAATAAAAATTGCCCAAACTACCAGAGATAACCTAGAGAAAACCACTGTATGTATCTTGGTATTGTTGTCACTTCTAGACATATTTGAATATATTTATATATATTAACTAGTATTTAAAACATAGAACTATGCTTTTTTTTTTCTTAGGATTTTCATCTCTGTTTACATTGCCCATCTGTTCTTGCATGCTGTCTACTTTATCCATTAGAGACCTTAGCATATTAATCATTTAAATTCCCAGTCTGATAATTCCAGCATCCCTGCCACGTCTGGAACGATGCTTGCGCTATCTCTTCAAACGTGTCTTTTGCCTTTTGATGTGCCTTGTAATTTTTTTCTTGCTAGCCAGACGTGATGCACTGGGTAACTGCTGTAAATAGGCCTTCAGGGATGTGGTGGTGAGGTGTGGGGAGAGGGCAAGTGTTCTATAATCCTAGGATGAGGTTTGTCTTTAGTGAGCCTGTGCCCCTGGACTGTGAACTTCACAAACATTTCTCAGTTTTTTCTCCCTGCCTCAGGTAGGACAGGGTTGCTAGAGTGAGCTGGAGCTGGGTATTTCCCTTCCCCCAGGTCAGTTAGGTTCTGATGATACCCAGTAGGTTGGGCTCTGGTTAACTAGTTTTATATGACTATTACTTAAGGAGGGAAGTGCTCTGGCATATTTCAGAATGGTTGCTTGTTCACTTCCCTTGCTGGAAGCACGAGGGGATTTTCTCCGACATTTACTGTGGAAACCTGATTGAGCTCCTGGAGGTAAGCCTCACAAAATTGTGGGGAGCCCCTGCAACTTGGTCCCTGGAGGTTTTAACTCTCAGGCTTGTCCACACAGAACCTCCAGCAATTCGTCAGTTACAGCCCAGGTTTCCTGCCCCAGCTCTGGAAAGTTGAGATTCCCTGTATTCACCCATCCGTCTCTCCAGTCTTGGGGGCAGTGGTTTGCCCTATGTCCTCACCTCTCTAAGGATCCAAGAAGAGCTGTCGATTTTAGTCTGTTGAGCTTTTTACTTGTTAGGATGGAGTGGCGACTGCCAAGCTCCTTACATGTGGGACTGGAAACCAAAAGTTGGATTACACTTTTTAAAAAATAATTAATTAATTGTGTCTGCGTTGGGTCTTCATTGCCGCGCACAGGCTTTCTCTACTTGCAGCGAGCGGGGGCTACTCTTCGTTGCGCGGGCTTCTCATTGCGGTGGCTTCTCTTGTTGTGGAACATGGGCTCTAGGTGCATGGGCCTGCTCAGTAGTTGTGGCTAGCCGGCTCTAGAGCACAAGCTCAGTAGTTGTGGCACACGGGCTTAGTTGCTGCACAGCATGTGGGATCTTCCCGGAGCAGGGCTTGAACCTGTGTCCCCTGCATTGGCAGGCGCAGTCTTAACCACTGAGCCACCAGGGAAGTCCCAGATTACACTTTTGTAACTAGTCTTATCTGTATCTACGCTGAGCAGTTTCTAGCCCTCACTGTTTTGCCCTGCCTGAGCCAGCGTGGTGGCATGCCACGTGCTTTACAAAGCTGGCAGGTCTTCTGTTGGCTTCTGCCCAGGTTCTCATCCAGGACATTTCATTCCTGTCACCTGTGCTCACACACTAGCGACTTCCGAGTTTCTATCTCTGGTCTAGACCTCTGCCCTGAGCTTCATCTCTGTGGATTCAGTCCCCCACCCCTCCACAATCTTCTCCTCGGTGTTCGAGTCCTTTCAGACTCAGTGTTTCCAAACTTTTCAAACTCAGCTGAATTTATTATATCCTCCAGCAAATCCATGCCTCCTACTACATTTCCTATCTTGGTGAGTATACCACCATTCACTTCTCTCTTTCTCATTCTCCATGTCCAGTCAGGTCCTACAATTTTATCTTCAGAGTTTGTCTTTTTTTCTTTTTCAATTTAGAATGTTACTTTTACATTTAAAAAAAATGAATTTATTTATTTATTATTTGGCTGTGTTGGGTCTTCATTGCTATGTGCGGGCTTTCTCTAGTTGCGGTGAGCAGAGGCTACTCTTAGTTGCGGTGCGTGGGCTTCTCATTGTGGTCGTTTCTCATTGTTGCAGAGCACAGGCCCTAGAGTGCAGGCTCAGTAGTTGTGGTGCACAGGCTTAGTTGCTCTGAGGCATGTGGGGTCTTCCTGGACCAGGGCTTGAACCCGTGTCCCCTGCATTGGCAGGTGGATTCTTAACCACTGCACTACCAGCAAAGTTCCTAGAGTGTTACTTTTAAAAATTTATTTTTTACTTTATTATTTTTTTATTGAAGTATAGTTGACTTACAATGTTGTGTTAGTTTCAGGTGTACAGCAAACTGATTCAGTTACACATATATATATATATATATGTGTAAAAAATATATATATATTCTTTTCAGATTCTTTTCCCTTACAAGTTATTATAAAATATTGAGTATAGCTCCCTGTGTAGAGTTTGTCTTTAATATGGCCTCTCCTTTCCGTTCTCACTGCCCTGGAGTTTCGTTTCAGATCCCTAATCATCCCTGCTCGGACAGTTTCACTGCTTTCCTTAGTAATCGCCCTCCCTTCAGTCACTGCCTGTTGCCAGTGTGATCATGCTGAAATGCACATTTCTTGGCAGAATATGCAAAAGACTTTGAGATCTGCTCCCTCCCTACATACCTGGCCTCATTCACTTTATTCATTAATATTGAATTATGGGACGTTTTCCCTAAGCCCTTGTGTTTTTCATCTCTCTTCCTTTGCACATGCTATTTGGATCTCTCTTCCCCATCTGATTCCCTGGGAAACTCCTAT